CTCCCGTTAGCTATTACCCTCAGCTGGAATAGTTTAATCAGAGTTGATGGCCATACTCAAACTAACCCCACTTCCTGCTAGAGGGTGTACATCTCGCTCTTTGAAGACCCACAGAGTGGGACCACAGGAAAAAGGCACAAGATGAGACAACAATCAGTTTTGTTTGCATATTTTCTATTAAGTAACTAACCAACATTTACTTGTTGGTAACAATTAATGATTAATTGTTAATTTAGAAAAACTTCTAAAATGTTGTGTTGCCTCCTGCATGAAAGGAAATAATTTAAAAGCCACTATGGGGTCAGCCTGCTGCTATTCAGCATATTTATCTTTGCCATTAGCGTTTTGGTAAAAATGCTGCTTCTGTCTAGAGGCCACAAATCTTGTTTGTGCTTCCTGTTGCAGAATGTTTATTACACAAGCAATCAGCAGCTCCATGTGGGTGTTCTGAGTCCCACTATCGACGATGATGACAACAGATGCCTGGTGGATGTGAACAGCAGGCCCAGGCTCATTGAATGCAATTATGCCAAAGCCAAGAGAATGAAGCTTTACTGGCAGTTTACTCAGGTAATTCTTACTCAGCAGACATTTCAGAAAGTTCAAAAGCTCTGTTTCTGAATCCAAAGTGTGAGTAACCTGTTTACTAACAGAACAGAACCAGATTTATCCTTGCTTTTAAAGACGGAGCCAGGAAGCTATGTTTACATTTGATCCCAATGTCAGCTACCTCAGGAGGTTATAGAACTTGTTATTATATTTTCTGAGTTCACAATAAATTATTTGTTTCTAAGGCAGAGTGACTGCTACAGAATTCTCTCAATCAAAAAAAAAAAAAAAGAAACAGAAAGCTTTTTTGTTGTTTTGATTTTTTTGAATTAGCAACTCAAAAAAGGGGGCAGGGGGTCATTGATGATAACAGCATCACATGAGCTACTTCTGCAGTTCCTTACTTAAAAAGGGTAATGCTTTTGTGTGTGTGTGTGTGAGAGAGAGGGAGAAAAAAAGAAGTGCAAGTAAAGGCTGAGAAGTGATTTCACAGTGATGAGAATGCTGGTAAGATGTGAGCCTATGCCTGGTGTCCACAGTTCATAACTGATTTAGAAATACAAGGGAGAACTTTAAAGAAGCCATAAAAGTTCTGGGGCTAGAAAACGCTTTCTGCACTATAATTCTTGGAGATCCCTCATTCAGCTTAGCTAAGAGGAAGTGGCAAGGTGTCTCACAACATATCAGTGTTTCCACAGAGGGACACAGGTTATCCTGAAGACAAAACAGGTTCCAATGGTTAGAAGCTAAATATAGTAAAATTTGATCTTTCAAAGGAAGGTAAGATTTTTCCTAAGGTAAGAATTAAGACACTGGAAGTTTACTGTGTCAGGTATTGATATGCTGGTTGCTTAGGATAAATAAAATGACATTGCATAACTGTCTAAAACAAGAACCTGATTTAGCTTCTGTGAAACCTTTAATAGCCAGTGTGAGTTTGACTGGTCACAGTTGCTCCTCTGCAGTTTTCGGGCTACAAATCTAGTTGTGTACTCCAGCCCAAGGGCTGAGGCTCACCATTAAGGTAATTTTATTCTTGCATTTAATTTTTATGTATCATCCATGTGGGTTTGCAAGTATCTTTTCTGTCAAAGTTGTTTGTTTGTTTGTTTTTTTCTTTGACTTCAACAGCCATGATCAGTATATTTCAGGACATGGGTAATACAGTTTAGCATCTATCTTAGTGCAGAGAGCATTTGGACAGTAACCAGTAAAGCATATTATGAACATGATTTGTATTTATACTTGAAAGTAATCCCAATCTTTGTCTTTAAAGGGTAGCTCTCAAGCAGCAGACCTTAAATCCTTCGCCTGGAAAGACATTGCAGCTTTCACTTCCAGTCTCCTCAAGGGCAGAGTTTTAATTATGTATTCTCTCAAATTGTAACAATAGTTTGATCATAATGGGAGGCTTCACTGTGGCCATCTCAGCACTGGATTTTTGGTACTTGTTTTAAAAAATATAATTAACATTTTTAAAAAGTATGTCAGTACTGTCCACCCATTCAGTGACTGCTCTGTATAGCCCAAAACTTTGGTGACAATTAATGGTTTCTACTGCAGAATACTGCTGCTGTTTTGTAATACTAACTATGTTAGATCCAATTTGGGGGATAGCAGTAGAATGCAGTGATAGTTTAACTATTAAAAGCTTCCAAAATGGTATTTAAGTACTTCAGGTTTGTTTTCTGTCTGTATTTACAGTCTCCCAATGAAGGTGCAGTGCTGTTAGACTAGACTCTATGGACTGTACTTAAGTCTTCTACAAAGAAACTTCTGCTCAGGAGAAGTGAAAGCTAATTAGTTTTTTCCTTATGATAAATTGAGATACAAATGAAATAATTAAAAGCTTGCTGTTCAAAAAGTATTTTGTTAATACCCAATGCAATTAAAATGCCATTGTTTCTCAACATACAGCATAGTACATAGTCCCCTGCACGTTCTGTAAGCTATGAAAAAAAGCTAATGAGAGTAATCAAGGTTTGCCAAGATCAACTGAGAAACTCCATTTGAAATGTTCCCATTTAGGCCGGTGAAAGGTTGTGTTTCTGTGAGTACACTGGAAGCTGTCTATCTCAAAAGAGTCTTTTTTGTTACATTTTTAAAGCTCTGGTCTTTATTTTCCATATTATGCAGTAAGCAGAACTACTGAAAATAAGCAGAACTGTAAGTATTGATGCTTATGTAGTCTTGAAGTTTGTGAAATATTAATTAGAATGTAGAAGCCAGACATAGCTTTTTATAGCACCTTCCTTTGGCTGCAAGTATGCTTTGGCTTCTCTGGATTCTCTAGCCATTTGACAAGAATGTCTGATGATACAGATAATTACAAGTACAGCAGCACAAGTAGAGAATTGTCTCGGAAAGGGAATAGGAACAAGACTTAACCAACCAGAACGGGATAAACCAATTGAACTAGATTTCCCTGACCAGCACAAAAATCAGTATTGACCCTGCATTCCAGACATGTATCTTAAAATTTGAATGAGGAAAAAACTTTCTTATATTTCTGCCAAAAAATTCCACTGTCTTCCAAGAGGAACCGTGATAGTCTGTGACGGGACATGGACTTCAGTCTGATTGATAGAAGACTCTAGCTTTTTGGAAAATTTATTATTCAGATAACATTCTCCTTTTCCCTTGCATTGTTGAAATGTGATGATGAGATAAATTTTTATGACAAAAAAAAGAAAATAGGGGTCATCCTCAGCTAGTGATCTCCTTGCTTCTTTAGATCTATTATATAATTATTTAATTCTTAATTTACATTATTGATTAGAAGAGTGTGTGTGTGTGTACACATATATACTTGTGTGCATATATATATATAACAATTTATTTCTTTAATATTTACCTTTTATTTTGGTTTTAAAATTATAAGTTACGTGTCTGTCTTCAATTGTGTAGGCAACTGGAGTCAGTCACTTAGATGTCGACTATTGTCTTGTCGACAAAATAGTGGTTTAATGGGCATTTATATGGAAGGAACCACCTCCAGTACCTCCAGCTGTTTTCATTATACATCATGCTGGCTGCCTGGACAGAGGCCTTGAGAGACTTTGTGGTTTCTTTCTGTACAGGACAAACTTGCCTTCAGTATTCAAAGCTTGTATTAAGTGTTTGTGTAATCACCATCCATCTGAGCAAATTTCCATGCTCCACAGTTTTGTACAGCTGCCAAATGCAATGAGACCCAGTAAAATGTAGGCTTCAGTGACATTCTTCCTTCCAAGGCTTTGTCAAGTGTTTATAACTGTAATTATGTCAAATTATGTAAATTAGCCTTGAAAAGACTCCCATCAACTGGGTAGTGTTCAAGAATTTTATTGTTCAGGTGGTTTGTCAAGTCTTCTCTTAGAGGAATGCTTATTTTGGGAATATTTTACGCAGAGAAGTCTTCTAGGGGTTTGACAGTTCACCTAGTTCAGGCTGTCTCACCACTTTTTCATTTAATCAGAACAAAATTAGACCTTAAAGCAAAATAGTAAGTGATCACCAGAAAACCTTGGGGCATCTGCATATGGCTACAGAACCATACTCTTCTGAACTGACTGCCTGATAGTATTAGGTTTGTTCTGTGTACTAAGAAATAGTACATTCTAAATGCTGCAGTTTGGTTTGGCTTTTTTTAAGAAGTTTCTCAGTGTCCAGTCTGGTTTCTCAGATTTATTGCTGATAGAAAGGCAGCTGTAATATAACACCTGCCCTGCGAGTGAAATTCATCTCTATTCATCACCTGGGTGACAGCAGGTCATCTAGAAAGTACGCTTAGGCATGTTAGGACTCGTCCAGCAGCATAACAATGGCAAAAGAAGGAAGTTTTTCTGTAATAACTTTTTATCGTGAAGTGTCTTCATGTTTATATTTAGTCAGATAAGGATGTAACTGTTTCTTATGCTTCTAGCCAGACTAGCTACGCTGTCACTATTTACTGTTGTGAGTAGCCTGACAGATGAGGGCTCTGTGTAAAATGAGGTAAAAGAGACAAGAGACCAAGCTAAAAACCTGAGATTAATCCTTCTAAGGCTGTTCTATGTTGAATTTTTTTCAGTACAGTAAGCTTTGTTAATTTAAGTATTCAACTTCCAGTGTGGTTGCCATAAAAAGGTAAGAGAATTTTGCATCTGTAGGGATGGACACTCATCGCAGACCTCAAGGGAGGGAGAGGCGGTGCAGAGCCTGTGCTCGGCGCTGTTGTGTACCCACATCCACACAGTCACATCTGCCTGCGATGCTAACGTTGCTTTTTCATGTTATGGAAATTGTGATTCTAGTCAGTGCTGGAGGTTTCCACAGGAAATCTTCCAGTTCCGAAGTGTTCAAAGGAGGTAGTTTATGCTATGCTGAGAAGCTGTAAATAAATTTTGTTGCTGACTATTGTACTTACCATATGTATAATTTCCCAAATATCATAGGAATTGCTTTGGAAGGAAAAGTGAAGACAGATGTACGCAAATTAATTACTCAGTTGTTACAGTATTCTACAGATAAATGAAATGAGGCAGCTCTCATTTAAATAGGTCTTAGATAATAGATTAAATAGCTATTCTGTGTAGCTATATAAAGAAAGAATAGACCTTCAAAGTACTGAAGGCATTTACATCTTGTTCCTCCTACAGATTTTGGCCTTTGCCAGACAGTCATTCAATTATTCTTACCTGCCTTTATCTTATGAAATTAAAGGATGTGCAATACTACTGCTAGCTAGAACTGTTACCCACAACCACATCCCAAAAGAGTAAGGGAATGCAGGGTGCAGACTGCCTGGCAGGATTAAACCAGAAGCCTGTGGAGCAAGCAGAGAATCTCTGTACCAATTTCATATGCTCCCTTGCTGAGCATAGACAGTGCAGAAGTGCAGGCTAACGCCATTAAACAGCAGCTTCCTTCTAACGTCCACTCCCAGTTTTCAACCCATATGTTAGCCAAGGACATCAGTGTACAAGAGGGATTAATTTCAGTAGAGCTGTGAGTCTAAGGGAACAATTGTCCCCATGAACTTCTTCATATTCTTCCATTAT